AAAAAATAATAATAATAATAAACAAAAATAAATGAACAAATTGAACGTAGGTCACAATATTTACCAACAAATAAGTCCAAGTAAATCCCCATTAGTAAGAGAGGGGAAAAAAGCAGAAAAAGTTACCTTCAATTACCTTTATATGAAGAGTACCACCACCAAATTCAGTGCTACTCTTATTATGAAACTCCATCCAAGCACTGTTATTATAAAAGCAAGATCCTTTCCAGTTCAGCGAGTTATTGGAAGCGAAGGCAGCCCCCACAAAAGAGGGTAAAAGGTCCGCAGCATTATTAAGAGTGCCCAGAATTGGCCATGACACTTTTCCAGGAAGCCATGGCAATACGTCCCTAGGATGAAAGGGTGCTTTAAAGGCTTGTACTTTAGGCGGCTGGAGGTAAGAAATTGTGAGAATTGTGAATAATAACAATAATATTTGATGGGTCTTGCAGAGAATTTCCATGGCCGATCACACTTCTGAAAGGAAAAGGTCGGTGGGGCGGATGGGTTGAGTGTACAGAGAGAGATTGTTATAGGAGGAAGGTTTGGGTTAGGCGTTTCTTTCCTTTTTCTTGTTTCCCATTTTGATAAGAATTAGCAGAAGTTGGAAAATTGTCCAATGTGATTAATAAATAATCAAACTTTTTTGTATTTTTTTATCAATGGGATTTCAAGAACACAATTAATTTTAATTAAAGGCGAACATGATCTAGTTCGGTCCGATTTTAATAAGAATCTCAATGAATTGAATATTATTAGAATTTGAAATCAAACGCGAATAGACTATAATTAATTATTTTGATTCAATTCGATTTTTTTAAAAGAAAAAAAAATGTAACTTTTTTGCACTTCTATATGCAACAATGTGTTGATTACTCTGATAGTTTAAATCATATACTTATTTGTACCAAAATCTTTCAATTTTTCATTCTATTATTCAAAACTAATTAAATTTTAAATGGAATCAAATTGAAGTAATTAATTTGATTCATTTTAGTTCGGTTCCATAAATTGTACACCATAGAATGATATGTTACAGACATTAATGAAAGGATTATTAGACAAATATTTAATGTTAATGTATATTTAGTATTAAACGTACTTAAAATGTTTGGTATTTTTGAATGTTAAGTAAGTATAGTTGAGATAAATTCATTTCTTAGTAAGAATAGATACGTTGCTTAGATAGTGGACACGTATAAGAAATAAGGGAATATTAAAAATTCGATTCATAAAGTTTTTCAATTTTGACACAATGTATTTATTAGATTGAATAGAATGATTTTGTCGTATCCAAACTAATACCAATCCAAGCCATTTCATGAATGAAATGTGACCGATTAACCAAGGGAATGAAAAAAATTTAATAATAATAATTAAGTTGGTGGTAAAAGTTTTAACAATAGTCGGTATCAGTAATCTTAATTCATTCCTGCAGTTATTATAATATTTATAAATTTAAGAGGCTAAATTGACAACAAATCAGAGTGGCGCAGCGGAAGCGTGGTGGGCCCATAACCCACAGGTCCCAGGATCGAAACCTGGCTCTGATATTAAGAGAGCAAGCTTCTCTACCACTCGACCTTTTTTTCTTTTCCCAAAATAAAAGATCATAATAAACAAAAAATTCAGACTTTTACAAGCTCACCGGTTTCGGAATTCCCGACTTTTACAAACAACACGAACAAGTTTCAAAACTTGACCTTGTACGAAACATTGACATTCAACACAATTTTTACGAAGATTTCCCTCATCGCATTTCACATGTATAAATGGTCCGAATATATTGTTGGATAAACAATTAGTACAAAAGAACATGTACTTCTCGAATTTCCCTAATAAAAATAGACGAAACTGAATACTCAAAAACTACGGCACCAAACTAAAGATCAGAAACAACAAAATTGTCATAATATTGCAATGTTAGGTTACTACTATGCATATTTTTTTTAATTTACTTATTTATTTATTTTTTAAATTTCAAACTCACTGGTTTCGGGATTCAAGTACCCGACTTTTACAAACAACATGAGCAAGTTTCAAAACTTGACCTTGTACGAAACATTGACATTCAACACAATTTTTATGAAAAATTTCCAATGATTCCTCGTCACATTTCACAAGTATAAATGGTCCAGATATATTGTTGGATAAACAATTAGTACCGAAGAACATGTACCTATTGAATTTGCCTGGTCAAAATAGAACAAGAAACTGAGTACTCAAAAAAGACGATAACATACAGATAGAACAACTATACAGAGATAATTTCTGAATTTCTGTTTTACTAAGTACCAAAATCTCCAGAGAAATGCCCTCTACAACTCTGTTAGTGTCTAATGAAACTACACGACATGTATATCCATTTGAGTCTGATTCCTGTATCTATATTATGAGTTAAAAGAGGGATAAATCTTGGTTCACCCCATTGAATGCTCTATATATTCTAAACTATGCTGATGTTCCCGTAGCTTCCTTCGGTATCAAAAATAGGAAACAGACCAGGATGAAGATGCTGAAAAACTGGATAATGATTCCTAAGAGAAGGTTGTCGAAAGAATTCGAGGAGATATTCAGAAGTGAAGCCAGTGCCGCACCTACGAACGATCCAACTGTTGATCCTAAGTTGTTTATAGACATGAAGAGTGCAAATAAAGTTCCTTCAATCCCAGGTGGACAAAGCGGTCCTGATAAGATGAGGAAAGGTATGAACCTGTGATGAAATAGAGAATTGAGTGAGTGAGATAACCGCAAGACTTCAAGATTCATGGTCCGGTTATTATAAATACATAAATCCTGTTGCGTAGCCAATCGAGTAAGTGAGGATAGTTAATAGTAAATGAAATGTGAGCCAAAACAAACAAATAGATAAAAGTAATTCATGAATTCTTAATTTGGGGTATAACAATCTACTGCAACAAAAAACAACTTTCTGTTACCAAATTTGAAGTACATACTTAAATTGATTGATGAGCACCATGACCTTGTCCCATATGCCTAATGAAATATTTGATCTAGTCACCAAAACTCCGTCCAAAAGAATCAAAATAGACAACCCAATATGAGCACACCTGCAAAATATTCATAGATATCAAAGAATTTATTATTTAGAAAAAAAACAAATCCCATGATCTTCTCTTCATTCAATTTTTAAGAAAACAAATAAAAAAATGGGCACAAGATGAACTTACAAGAGAATCCTTCTCAATTTCATCTTCTGCAAGAACCGGTTATAAATAAAGGTTCCAACCATGAGGCTTGACCACCCAATAACACGTGTTGTGCCCAAGAAGGATGCTTCCAGTTTCAGAATTTCTGTCTGTTAATAAAACATAACCGTTGATAGATTTGGAAAAGTCACATGTGCCAGGAAAAACCAAGCCATTGGTCTAGACTTGCCAAGAGAGTATGAGAACCAGAAACAATCATTAGTTTGATAAATCAATACACAAGAATAGAAGGGAGAAAGATAACATAACAATTTAATATGGGAAATTGACTTGGGTTCAGTCTCATTTGGGGGGGAAAAGGGGGGGGGGGGGGGGGGAGAGGGGGGATTTTGTTTTGGGCTAGATAGAAAAGTAGTGTAAAGCCCAATAATCAATTCAATTGTTTTTTTGTTGTTGTTTTTTTTTGTTTTTTTTATAGCGGGTAATCAGTTCGATTTCGATTCGACGGCGTCATACCTGCACCGCCATGAACCAGTTCATTCAAATAAAAATCATATCCGCCCCATTGCACCATCGATTT